GGAAGACAGCTCGTTAGCCGATGGACTGACAAAGTTTTTTTACTTTGGGTCAAAGGTCGGCGTCAGCTCCTACCTGAGCGGTTGCGCTCTAACAGCCTGCTCCCTTTGACGTGGCACAGGTCACCCTGGGTGCTGTTGCAGGTGGTGCTCAGGTCGGCCTTGCAGTAGGACGGCGACCCCCCCTGGACCACCTGTGGGATGTGTTTCTTCCTCTTCTTGGGCAGCTTCTGCTTGGCCATGGCCAGGGAGTAATACATCCCAAAGTTGTTGACGATAACCGGCACCGGCATGGCTATCGTCAGTACGCCGGCCAGAGCGCACAGCGCCCCCACCACCATGCCTGACCACGTCTGAGGGTACATGTCCCCGTACCCCAGAGTCGTCATGGTAACCACCGCCCACCAGAAGCCTATGGGGATGTTCTTGAACTTGGTGTGAAGAGCAGCCGTTGGGTCGTTGGGCTTGGCGCCGATTCTCTCGGCATAGTAAATCATGGTGGCGAAGATTAGCACTCCCAACGCCAGGAAGATGATGAGCAGCAAGAATTCATTGGTGCTGGCACGTAAGGTGTGGCCCAGTACCCTCAGCCCAACGAAGTGACGCGTTAGCTTGAAGATACGCAAGATACGCACGAAGCGCACCACCCTGAGAAAACCTAGCACGTCCTTGGCGGCCTTGGAGGAAAGCCCGCTCAGTCCGACCTCCAGGTAAAACGGCAGGATGGCCACGAAGTCGATGATGTTCAGGACGCTCTTAAAAAACTCCAGCTTCACAGGGCAGAAGGTCACGCGCACCAGGAACTCGATGGTGAACCAGAAGACACAGACCCCCTCCACGTAGGTGAGGGCGGGGTCGGTTTCAATCTCGTACTGGGGGCCCGGGTCCGTCACCCCGCCGTCCCGCATCAGCTCCGTCTTGTTGATGATGGTGTTGAACGCCTCGTGTGTCTCCAGGCAGAAGGTGGTGATGGAGACCAGGATGAAGAACAACGACGCAAAGGCGATAAACTGTAGACAAAGACAAGAGAAGAACCAGATGAACCTCACATAGCAGCGGTACCAGGAGTTCACCAGCCCTGAGTGAAGTCACACAGGTTTAATTAACTCATGTTAATTTGAATGAACTCCACAGATCAGAGGAATCTGTTACAGGAACAACGAGTACACGTGTACTTCCTTCTTATCCCGGTGGAACAGACGGAGTCAGAGCTCCGAGTCAGAGCTCCGAGTCAGAGCTCCGAGTCAGAGCTCCGAGTCAGAGCTCCGAGTCAGAGCTCCGAGTCAGAGCTCCGAGTCAGAGCTCCGAGTCAGAGCTCCGAGTCAGAGCTCCGAGTCAGAGCTCCGAGTCAGAGCTCCGAGTCAGAGCTCCGGGTCAGAGCTCCGAGTCAGAGCTCCGAGTCAGAGCTCCGAGTCAGAGCTCCGAGTCAGAGCTCGTCTACTGCTGCAGGAACAACCAGGCTCTGAATCTGATTAAACATCAGTTTGGGATCTTTGGTGTTTAAAAATAGATGAAATTGCATTAAACGGTTCAATGAAATTATTGCCTATAAGGCGTCGCATCGTGAAACAGTTAAAAATCGATACAAATGTGTGACATTTCTCATTGGTTCAAATGAAAAAAAAATCATGTAAAGAGATGAAAAAGTCACTGGTCAGACCATGACACTACACACTCCACTACAGTAGGTGGCAGTATGCTCCTAAAAACCCAGTATCAAACCCAGACGTCAGGTCCTACGTAGGCTGAGAGACGTTCAGGTGTTGGAACAGAACGTGGGAAGAACGTGTTCCACAGACACCAACAGAGTTCTCCAGTGGAACTGTTTCCACTTCCTGTTTCTTCTTCTTCTTCTGTGGTTGTTTCATATGTTGACAGTTAACCAGGTCAACCAGACCAGACCAGTTTGAATCCAGTTTGTTCACGTTGTGAAGCCTGTTTGTTGTCGTCACACTCTGTTTATAATGTCATTTCAGGCCCAAAGGCAACGTCGGGATTAGAACCCATTCACGTGTCATGTGACCTTCCTCTGATGAATTCTGGTTCAATGGGAGAAAATTATTTTTAGCAGTTAAAACAGGATTTGTCAGAACAGCAGCAGCAGCAGCAGCGTGTGTGAGTGTGTGTGTGTGTGTGTGTGTGTGTGTGTGTGTGAGTGTGTGTGTGTGTGTGTCAGTAACAGGGTTAACTGATGACTCACACACATTTTCTTTTAACGTGTTTGGTGTGTGGACATTTTGATGAAAGCACCTGTCAGAGGCAGAGCTGACGTGCACACGTCTGCGTGCACGTCTCCACACACGCTGCCCACTACCCCTCCCCCCTCCCCCCCCCTAACCCCCCCCCCAGTACTATGCCTACTACCTCTGAAGTGGTGACACTGGAGATGCTGCCACTATCAGTGTCACTCTCTGCCCTGTGGATCTGCTGCCAACAGGGGGAGTCCTGGGTGAGTGTCTGATCTCACCCTCTCTCCCACACACACATATGGATAAATACATATATAAATATATGTCATTCTAAACACATCACACTCCACCGTACCCCCCCCGAACCTTCCTGCAGGTGGTGAGTCCACTGGAAGGGACCAACCGCCCTGACCGGGATTCGAACTTGCCCAGGAGGTGAACCCTGGGGTTCCACACCAATGACAGAGACATTGCCTCTGGGCCAAAGCTCCACTCATTCTAAATTATTTATGCATATATATTTACACATGTAGACGTGAGAATGTGAAATACCAAAGGCCTGATGTGGAGCAGGCTTCTTCAGTTTGAATGACCCTCCTGCAGTGATGCCACACTCCTAACCACTGAGACACCGTGACGTCCTTCAGGAAGGAGAATTTCTTTGGTCAAGAGTCTCTTCATCAGTTCTACATCAGATTAGTTGAACTACCTCTGCCCTCTGCCGACAACAACGACAACGACAACAACGACAACGACAACAACGACAACGACAACAACGACAACGACAACAACGACAACGACAACAACGACAACGACAACAACGACAACAACGACGACAACAACAACCACAACAACAACAACAACGACGACGACGACAACGACAACGACGACGACAACGACGACAACAACGACAATGACAACGACAACAACGACAACAACAACAACAACAACAACAACAACGACAACAACGACGACAACAACAACCACAACAACAACAACAACGACGACGACGACAACGACAACGACGACGACAACGACGACAACAACGACAAAGACAACAACGACAACGACGACAACAACAACAAGGACGACAACAACGAAAACTCTTTATCCCTGATCTGACACATATCTTTGAAGAGCTGAACTAAAAAGACTCTCGATGAACTGATTTGCAGCACACACACACACACACACTCACGCTAACCAAGCTGCGCTCTTCTACAAATTGCACTTCCAAGTCCGACCCGGACCATCAGACGTAATCTCCCCAGAGGAGGCGCTCCACTCTGCAGCCGCGGCCTCATCAGGTGAAGGACTCTGATGAGCTGAGACAGAGGTCAAACCTGTGACCTTCACGTCTGACTGACAACAATGGTACGTCTGTGGTCTGTACAGTCGGTGACTACACTGATCCGTCTGAGTGTGAAGTACAGCAGGAAGTCTGACTCCACGCCTCCACCCGTTCATGCTGCCAAATTAAGACCTGCTAAACATTTGAATCAGATTAAATCTGGACAAATTATTTACGGGATTAACGTGTGAATGTCGTCATCTGGTTTTCGATGGTGAAGCTGCGGAGTTTAAACAGGAAGAAACATTGCTTTCAGGGTTGGAGGAGGGTAAAGAAAACACACACACACACACACACACACAGCTTTGTTTAGGCACAATCTCAGAAAATGCCCCGCTGCCTTCACCAATCAGAGCCCTTTCTGCCCCCGCCTCCTCAGGGCTGCCACCATCTGTTTGACACCAGGAGTGGAGCTGCTCCTGCTCCTCCTGCTCCTCCTGCTCCTCCTCCTCCTCCTCCTGCTCCAGGCCAGAGCCGCTGTGACGTCATCGAGCTGAGGGGAACCCGGAGGTTCTGGAACAGTCCAACAGAACTGTTAGACCCAAACACATGAGCACACCAACACTGCAGCTGCACAAAAAACAGTTCGACCAATCAGCAGCCAGATTGATCAACCGCTTATTCAACGTCACACCAATAAACAAAAAGTATACGTTCTGAAATATATTGATCTCCTAGTTTCATTTTACTAACTGACTTCCTGGATGTTAAACGTTGTCCTGTTTAGTTGAACACAACACTGATGTACACATGACATTTATAACCATGTGCTGCCACCTAGTGGAGTAGTATTAAATTGTACATCGGTTGGATTATAGAACGAAGGTGGGGGAACAGTGGGTTTTGCAGCTGCATTACAATGGCAAGGTTGTCGGACCAAGTCCAGACCTAAGAAGTTGACATGTTTGTATGTGCAGTACCTGGAGTGGCCACCAGTACTAAACAAAAGTACCAAAACTTAACATTATGTGGTTACGTTAGGTCGTATGAGTTGAATGTTAGGAACCAACCCCGTCGGGCTAACAGGCTAACAAGCTAACAGGCTAACAGTCAGGTTCTTAGCTCGACATCGGACCAGGTTAGCCTACGCTCCTGTTTCAGTCTGTTGATGAAATGCCGTCCTGTGATTGGCTGGCCTGTGGGCGACGCCGTCTCCAGTCCGGCGTTAAAGAACAGTTAAACCAACAGAACGGTGTAGTTAAACCAACAGAACGGTGTAGTTAAACCAACAGAACGGTGTAGTTAAACCAACAGAACGGTGTAAATTGATCCCCGCCGCCGCCGGAACGCGCCAGAGGAGGACAAAAATGCGGTCAGCTCCTGGGAGGACGCCGCTGAGCCCCTGGGTGAGGCAGAGTCTGGGCAAACGTGGAGGCAACTCATGAACCGGAAGGTTCCGCTACACACATACATGTTCTTGTCCAAATCGGGGCCGCTCTTTTTCTCTCCCCCAGATCAACCGCTGCCATGGCAACAACACCTTTTCCATCTTTGACAGTTAAAGATTGTGGACTGCACGTGTGAAAAGATAAAGAGGGAGAGCGAGGGTGAGGAAATAGGGATGGAGGGAGGAGGAGGAGGAGGAAGAGGAAGAGGAGGAGGAGGAAGAGGAGGAGGAGGAGGAGGAGGAGGACAAGGAGGAGGAGGAGGAGGAGGAGGAGGAGGTGTCAGGGGGAAATAAATGACGGTGTTCTTTGGCAGGAAGAAGGGTTTTCCCTCCGACTCACTCCCTGTCTCTAATGTAGGAACGTTGAGAAAAAACAACTGTTTCTGTTGTTGTTGTTGTTTTTTTGGTGACAGACCCAGAACAGGAAGTCAGTCCGAAAACAGGAAGTGTTTCGAATCACGAATTTATCAGTAAATTAAAAAGAAAAAAAGAAAGAAAACGCAGGCGTTTGAACGTGACAGAGAAACACACACACACACACACACACACAGCCGTCCCACTCATCCTCATTATCAGCAGCTCACTGTGATATGGCAGCCAGCTCCACTCGGGGGAACCCTTCTGAATCCACAGCTTCTGGAAAACGACCAGCGGCTAAAAATAGTCCCTCAAATTTTCCTGCCGTTCGACTTCGACGTTTTTTTTCCAACTGTGAAGACGATGAAGATGATGAAGAAGACGTTAAGGAAGATGAGACAATCATATGACAGTGGAGCCGAGTCATTAATTGCAGTTGTAATTAATGAAGGAAGGAAAGTTCTTTAACCACTAAGCCACCGCTGCACCACAGATTAATAACAATTAATCAGCAGGACTGCTAACAGTTAGCTACGTTAGCTACCTAATGTAACTAACGATGACTTTAACCATTGTTTTTGAGTCTTGAGGGATCGGGGGCTTGATCTGAGGGAACCTCCAGTTTCATGTTCTACAGTGGAGAACCCAGATTAGAACCCAGATTAGAACCCTAACCCTTCAGATATCTGGGAATGTTTTTCGGGGGTTTTGTTTTGGCTGTGTTCTCCACGTCCCCTCAGACCAAACTAGAGCATCTTGAAGGTCCCGCGGAGACGAGGAGACTAAATATATCCGACACGCTTCTCCCTCGCTGCCTCTCTGTCATCTGTTCGCCTCGCCATCAATATTACAGCGCGTCGCCGACGTTCCTCACTTCACGGAGGCTGATGTTGACGAGGGAACGTCCAGGAGCAGAAATAGAAAGTGAGCCGTGATGTTTTCACTCCAGGCTCCATTCATTATTCCCAGGACATGACGGCGCAGAGCGAGGAACCGACGGTTCTTGTCAAGGCAGAAGAACCAAGAATCTGGAGACAACGTCAAAACATTCAAATATTTAAAAGGATTCGCTCAGTGTCGGGATCTTCACGAACCGTCAGACTAAAGGCCCTCGGACTGAGGGAGACACGGAGCCGACTCTGTATATACTGTATATACTGTGATATTTTACCTCAGAGTCAAACAGCTTCAAGTTTTCATTCAATCAATCTGCGAAGGTCAAAGGTCAAAGGTCACTGCTGGACAGATTAACACAGCCATGTTGTTAAATGAAAGTAGAAAAAAATCTGCAGCTCCTTCGACAGAAACAGAGAACGTCAGGAGTTTTTGTGTTTGTTCTACAGAAAAAGAACACGTTTTATGGTCGGACTGAGAAAGATGTCGTCTCCTGCATTTGTTAACAAGTTCAGAGGAACACAGGATGTGTGTGTGTGTGTGTGTGTATGTGTGTGTATCCAGTCTAGAGTATCAAGGCTGACGTGTGTGTCAGATTAAAAGCCCAGTTGGCAGACGTTCACTCAGCCCAACATCTCCTGAATCCATGAAGAGATAATTGTCGTAAAAGAAACAAACATGCAATTATGAGACAAATAAAGAGGGGGGGGTGAGGGGGATGAGGAGGGGGGACAAACAGAGAGACAGAGAGAGTGTGAGCTCACAAACACCCACCGGGGGCAGCATTTCCTCTCACTGCAATAAGACAGGGATTGCTAAATAAGCAGTGATTATTAGTCAACTGATCAGTGTCAGACGACAGACGAGCCACAGACGCAGCACTGACACAGCAGGTCAGGCTCACTGATGAGTTGGTAATAACTCACTGACTCATCGACTGTTGATCTGTTTACTCTTCAACAACAGGTCGCATCAAAGATTCATTGAAACATCTGAACTTCAGCTCCTCTGCCTCGGCTCTGAGGCTGAGACAGAAGAAAAGACTCTGTTGCCATGGTGACGACAGACGAAGAAGTCAGGACTGAGGAGCCAGTGATCAGGTGACGTGCACCGACAACACGGAGGTCGTGGACCAACGTTGGACCGACAGCTACGGGACAACTTCACTGGTCACCGTCTGTAACTGTGGTCCAACCTGTGGGTCGTGTCCCGCCTGCTGTCCTGTCATCACACTGCACAGGTAACAGTGGACGGTCCTGGACCGTCCTGGACCGTCCTGGACCGTCCTGGACCAGGCACCGTCCTGGAGCAGGCACCGTCCTGGACCAGGCACCGTCCTGGACCGTCCTCTAAATACAACCTAGGTCTTAAGAGACTTGATGAAGACTATGAAGATTCTATTTCACTCCGTCGGTGTCTGACCTGAACGTTCTCTGAACCAAATCTTCACAGTGTTTTTTTTT